CATTTCCTTTTTTGAACTTTTCCTTTTCCTGGGTTTAAGCTTTTTTTGTTTTTGAGCTAGGGTCTCACTATATAGTGCAAGCTGGCCTTGAACTGGCTTATGTAGCCCAGCCTGGCCTTGAATTCACAGCCATCCTCCTGCCTCAACCTCCTGAGTGCTGGGATTATACGTGTGTGTCACCACACCCAGCTTCCTGAGTTTAATCAGTCTCTTCATTTGCTTAGTTTTTTGTGATGCCTTATGAATTGTGCAGTGGGTGGCCTGTACATATGCACATGGCAGCCCCGTTTGTATCTATGGCTAAGTCTTCTTAAACTACCCAACATATTTTCAATATAATTTTATACAGTAAAATTAATAGATAATCTGTCGATTCTGTTTTTATTCTCAGAGCCTTCTACTCCAGTTTCCTAAATTAGATCTGCTGCTTCCTGGATGACATGTCTTCTTCTTTTTTGATTTACTCTCTAGTTTTACTTATTCATCTAGTTTTATTCATTTATTTATTCTTGTGTGTTTGGTTTTGAGACAGTCTTGCTACATAGTCTAGGTTGGGTTTAAACTTGCTACATAGCCAAGCTGGTGTCAAACTCATCATCCTCCTGCCTCAGCCTACCAAGTGCTGGGAAAACAGGTGTACCCCACCATGCCAGGTCCTACTGTCTACTTTGAGTGGAGAATGTCACCTAGTCACTTTTTCAGAGTGTCTTCATGGGAGGAAAAATATCTGAGCACTTCGTGAATGAAACTTTTTATTTTACCCTAACACTCAATAATTGGTTGGCTAAATATAGAATTGTATTTTGGAAATTATATTCACTATGAATTTTGAAGGCATGGCTCATTGTCCTCAGCTGCAGTAATATCTTTTGAAAGACATGAAGGGAGGGAGAAGGGAAGGGGAGATAAAAGCAATTAAAATGTGTTATGGGGCCAGGGATATAGCTCAGCGGCACAAGTGTCTGCCTAGCAACAACCATAAGGTCCTGAGTTCAATTCCAGTACCAAAAAATAAATAAAAATAAAAATAAAAAAATAAAATGTGTAATGTACATGTACCAACTCCCCACAATAAGTATAATCATTTTATACTGCAAACCTGTACAAATAAAAATAAAAATTTTAAAAATAACTTCTTTTGAGGAGTCAGATGCCATTCCTGTTCTTGTTCCTTTGTATGGAACCTATTACTTTTATCTACTTGTACAAGCTTCTAAGGTGTGTCCTTTCGTGCTAGCATTCTGAAATTTCACGGCAGCCTTCCCTTATGCGGGTCTTTTTCTTCTTTATGTTTCCTGTGTTATTAATACAAAACTGTCTCATTTCCCTGACTGTATTAATTGAAGTAGAAGCACAGTGATTGTCTTTAAGTTTTTGCCTGCTTTTCCCATCGTTTCTATTCTGTCCAAGGTCCCTTTTTGTGTTTATTTGGTTGGTCTCTGACTTTCATGTTGGAGCTTTCCTTGAGTTGCCTGACATCCTTGGTGATTTGTTTATATTTAAAAGTAAGGCACTAAAAATCCAACTGGAAGTTCCATATGCTTGGGGGAGTGGAGAGCAGGATATTTGTTGTGCCTGGGATGGTTCAGTTATCTAGAGAAGAAGAGTTGAAATCTCGTACCTGGGATATAAAGCAGGCTGCTTATTTTCTGGGAAATGAATGTGGAAAATAGAATTACAGACATTCATCAATTCCCTCTATTTTCAGTCTAGCATTTCCGCTACTTCATATGCTCCCACATCTATAACCACCATGATTCATTTTCATTTACTTGTATTTGGTATATTTTAAAATGTCTAAGTTGATAAGTAACACATAGAAATGGACTGTCAAAAAAAGGTATGGACAGATCAGGAATGTACAGCTCAGTGAATTTTCACAAACAGAGCCAGCTGTATAATGAGCACCCAGATAGCTCTGGCTCAGTTTCTTCAAGGACGAAGCTTCTGCTGAGGTAGCATACACAAACGCTTAGAACAGTGCTTGACATATTGGGAGTGCTTCTGCTAGTGCTCACTAATCTCATTCAGTCACCTATCTATCTGCTTTCCATCTTTATAAAATGTGCTTTCAGCTGGGCATGATGGTGCACACCTGTAATCCCAGCACTCAGGAGGCTGAGGCAGGTGGATCACTGCAAATCTGAGGCCAGCCTGGGCTACAAAGTGAGTTGAAGTCCAGCCTGAACTGCATGGTGAAACTCTGTCTCAAAACAACAACAACAATAATAATAATAATAATAAGTTGTGCTTGCATGTGAGATTTATCTCCTAGTCTCACAAAGGTGGAGTCTTTGTTCCAGTTTTGCCTTTTCCTTAGTATTTCAGGTGATTTCTATACTTCCCTCTCTTTCAGTTGTTTTTATGCCTGGGTTCAGACACTGGGCCTTGTACAAGCTGAACATGTCTACCACTTTTTTTTTTGTCTTTTTTGAGACAAGGTCTCACTATGCAGTTGAGGCTGGCCTTGAGCTCACTTTGTAGCCCAAGCTGGTCTCGAACTTGCAACGATCCTCCTGCCTCAGCCTCCCTTTAAAACCTAAGTACAGTAGGAATAGAAAAATAACTTTTTAGCCAGGCATGCTGGTGCACACGATGGCCGGGATGAGACCAGAGTGAGTGGGAGTCTTTAAATAGACAAAGGGGCTGAAGAGGAGAAACAGGACTGTACTGTAGTGCACCATGTACTCCCTGTGCTTATTGAGTCAAAGTTGGCAGAAAGAGAAGCCTTGGAGGAGGAGGTTAAGGCCCGCCACTATGAAACAGTTGCAGCTGACTTGCTCAGAAAGCTTGTATACATTCTGAGGCCCTCGGAAA